TTCTTTTCTCTTCCCTTCTCTTTTCTTCTCTTCTCTTTTCTCTTCTCTCTTCTCTTTTCTTTTTTCTCTTCCCTTCTCTTCTCTTTTCTCTTTTTTCTCTTCTTTTTCTTTTTTCTCTTCCCTTCTCTTTTCTTTTCCTTTTCTCTTTTCTCTCTTCTCTTCTCTCTTCTCTTTTCTCTTCTGTTCTCTCTCTATATATATTCACATTTTTTATAAAGAGACAATTTGGGTGTTTTTTTTGTTTTGTTTTTTTTGTTTTTTAACAGTTTATTTATACGTTTGAAGTCGAGCAGTTTTCCTAACCCTGCTCCAGCAGACAGCCTGAGCTGGTGAATGACGTGGTCTGTAAGGGCTGCGTTTGGTTTTTCGCTCTGTTCCTTGTGAGTTTCCTCTCTGGTAGCAGTAGCTGGAGGACTGAGTGGTTTAGAAAAGCACATGTGTAAAGCAGATGTTGAGCAGCCACAACATGACCATTTTTCTCTCCACATGCTTGTTCCTGTCCCGTCTCCGTGGAGACTGTGAGTCACCCTTGAGGTCACTGTGTGCACCGGCAGTAAACTGAGGGTGTTCTTAGCTTTGCATGCTGAGGCAGTGTGAAGTTAAAGCCATGGGATGTTTGGTGTCTGAAGTTTCCTTCTTTAGCCTTGTAACTCCAGTGCGAAACTAATGTAGTTAATAACAAGTAACAGAAGCTTATATCCAACCAATTAGCATCATGCTAACTGCATGCCTAAGTCATTACACACTTGTCCCAAACCATGTGGAGTTAAGTAATCTCTAATAGACTTGCCCATGTGGTTTCTGAGTCGTTATTTCTGCTACATTAGTCCAGAAGCAAACCTCAGACACCGAACGTGTCTCGGCTGATTGACTACATTTGGGTTAAGAGGAAAACTGCGAATGTGATTTTTGACAGGACTAATGTTGTAATGTATATAATCCTGCTTGAGAGATATTATGCTATATTGTCATTCATCTGGGCCCTGACGCACACACAGACACAGAAACGGATCCTCCCTTTCCTCCTGGTAGGGACTCTGTGGTATTGCAACATGCTTGAATTAAAATCTACCCTGTAATTTATGGGCTTCCCACCCTTTTCTGTTACACTGTAATTTGCTCCTGAAATAACACAGAGCATTGTGGGACGGCTGTGCCGAGTTTACTGCCATCAGCTATAGAGAGGCTTTAAACGTTCATGCTGTCTGTCTGTCTTTATATCTCTCTGTCTTTCTGTCTGCTGGTATATCTGTCTATATTGATCTGTCTTTTTTGTGTCTGTCTGTCAGCTTATATCTATTTGCCTTTATCTCTGTCTGTCTCTGTCTATCACTGTTGGCTGTCTCTCTATCTGTCTTTCTGTCTTTTCATTTATTCGTCTTTTTCTCTCTCTCTCTCTCTCTCTCTCTCTCTCTCTCTCTCTCTCTCTCTCTCTCTCTCCCCTATATGAATGAATGAGGCACTAGATGTCACCACGTCTCAAATCCTTTGTCTCGGTGCTCTAAAATGCAGGGTTGAATGTTTATACTATAAGCTGCTTAACTGAGGTGGTCTTAGTTGGTTAGTCTTAATGTCTCTCTCTCTCTCTCTCTCTCTCTCTCTCTCTCTCTCTCTCTCTATCATGATTAATACTTGGTCCAGGCTGACATTGACTGGACTATTTGAGGCAGATTTGGTCATGAAAACGCTTAGATTGCTCTGCTGTTTGTCATGCGTGCACCATGAGATAATTAGATGGAAAGGGGGAAAATTAACAGTATTTTGGGAAACATTGTGTCTGTAAACATCTTGTTTTAATCTAGTTTCTTCAACCCACAAAGAACTTCACTAATGTGTCCTTGAAAGCAGAATCATTGCAGTGAATCATGTTGTTTTCTAGTTTTTAAAGTAAAGCAAGTTTATTTATAATTATACATTTCATGCCAAAATTCAATTTGAAGTTTAAAGTGCAAATAAAAGCAGCCAAGATCAGAGGTTTCAAACTCAACCACTAAAAGGGCCACATTAAAAATCTCAGAAAATCTGTGGGCCAGCTGTTTTTTTATATTATTTTTATTTAACATTTTGCCGTGACCCGAACGGGCCATTGTTTATTCAAAATATGGCAAAACTGCAGCAGCAAAATAGTCACTGAACACTAATTCAAACCAATTCTAAGTAAAAATAACTTGTTTTCGGTAGTTTTTTAAACTGCTTATTTGCTTGAACTAGACACCAGACATCTTTTCTTTTTGTGTAACCGCTGGGCCATAGATTGTTGTTCGGGGAAGGGGGTCGGAATGCACACTGTTGCAGTGCATGCTGGGGACTGTAGTGCATCTCAGGATGAAACAGGCTAATAAGAATAGAAATTTGATGTATAATATAACATATATTTGTGTGCGCATATATATATATAATATACACGTGTGTGTGTGTGTGTGTGTGTATGTGTGTGTGTGTGTGTCATTAAAATGAAGTGCAAAGTCTGCAGAAACCGCTGAAGTGTCAAAGGCATGGGAAAGTGTTTTTTCCTGAAATAAAAAATAATGTGAAGTAAAGTAGATTTCTAGAATTTGATTGGAGTTTGTTTGTTGACATTAAAAACATCTGTGATTTTCATAAGCAACTGCCACGGAAATGAAACCAGTAAATTTTAAGACAATTATCGCTCGTTAGACTTTGTGTAAACTTCACTTGACCTGCTATTGTTTTGTCATAAATACAGGCTTCACTGTGTTTGTAAGAGGCCCCTAAAGCGAGTAATGAGGTGGAAGAAGGTTTCCTTTGTGGCTGCATGCAGTGAGAAAGTTCTGTACAGTGATGTTTACGCCTCGAGTTTTCTGAGCAGAGTTCTATACGTTCAATAAAGGCCACAGCAGTGTCCACCCATCAGAATTCTCCTGCTTTGATTGACACTGTCAGTTCCCATCGGGTGGCGTTGCTGCAGTGCTGGTTGCCATGGCACTACTGCATACTTTCACGTAGCCACGCTGTAATGAGGCCGCCTCACTCAACCAACTGACAGTCAGGGTCGCACGTGTTGGACGTGAGGATTTCTCTGAACAGATGTTGTGAGGATTTTTCTCTCTCTTTATTTATTTATTTATTTATTTTATACATGTACACAATGGTTTGGATGCAAATTTGGGTGCTATGCCACATTCATATTTGCTCTTTTTTAATCTTTTCTTTTTATATGAGTTGCGAGATGGTATGTGCTGTGAATGAAATGAAGTTCAGTTCAAAAAAATTATTTGTCATACTGACATAAATTGGAATGGTTTCCACTTTTTCTTATTTCTTCTAATAAACTTCTTTTGCTTCTGCTTGATTATGCTTTCACAATACACTGCAGTCCTGTTTTGGCAAAACGTTAATAAATAAAGCCAAAAGGAATGTTTACAAACCACAATACATAACTTATGATGAAATTTGGGTATCATTACAGCCATAATATACAAATGTACAGGCATATGTAAATATTTGAACACCTCTTCAACAGGGAACAAATTTAAACTTTTTTTCCTCACATTTTAATGGACTATTTCTATTTATTTGCTGAGTTAAGGTTTTATTATTATTATTATTATTATTATTATTATTATTATTATTATGTTAAATTAAGCCGATAAACAGTAAGTGCATTAAAATGTGCATTCGTGTGTTCTCTGTTGAGGAGTTTGTTCTCTCTAGCTTTTTTTCCACATGTGATTTGACTGGGGCGTCCAAACTTTTGCAAAACAAATACAGATATTAAAAACAGTCAGCTGCTTGTTCCGGCATCACAGTGACAGATGGACGGAATAGAAAGAGGGAGGGGGAGGAGAATGAATGAGGGGAGACTTTTATTCTCTCTTTTTCTCTCTGTGGAGAGACGTAGGACTTCATCCACAGCGCAGAAATGGGCTGCAAGAGAGTTTTGGTCGATGTCGATGGCGCGCCTTGGCTTTACCGTGGACGTATATGACGAGACTGTCTGTCTCCAGCCTGTCTGGACAAGGACAGAGAACTTTACCACTGTCCTCTAGCTGTTTTTACAGACTTTATGGAATATGGGACGGCTTTATAGGGTTGTTTTGATGCAAAAGTTTATATTTTTATGATTTCTGCAGTATAGACAGAGAATTATCTCAGATGGGTCGCATAACAGCGTCCTATGGAGTGCCAAAAGGGAGTGGACGAAGAAGAACGTTGGACTTCACTCGAGCAGAGTTTAATGTTTATTGTTTTTCCACAGAAGTGGTGATACCCTCCTTTATCAGGGGTGTGTCTGTATGTGCCGAGGTGAGGGAAAGGTGACCAGCTTGAGCTATAAAAAGACGAAGGTGTGTACACTGGCCGTGCCACACGTTCTCCGAGCGAGAGCGATGCGCATGGGCACTCGGCCCATTTGCTTATCAGAGTGCCAGTGGATTATCTAATGTCTAAATGAGCATTAGGACGCGCTTCGCTCTCATCCATCTGAAAAGCTCAGCCTGACAGCTCACGGTCAACACGTCTAACCTGCAAGGAGATCTGTGAAATCTGGAGAGCGGCTTTGTATCACTGAGGGAGAGAAGTATCACTTTAAATACGCTGAAGGACATTTTTGTTTGTTTATTTTTTTTGCTTATTTTTTTAGAACAGTCTTCTGACTGAACACTGACAACTTTCCATCGTTTCCAACCTTCGTAATAGTGAGATTTTTTTCATCTTTCTCCGCTTTTTGCTTTGAGATGGATATCTAAGAGTGGCTTTGCAATACAGAGCAAAAGAACATTTGCTGTAAATACACTGAAGAACTTTTGCTTGTTTTGGCACCTGTTTCTTTGCTTAATTTTTTGTTTTAGAAAAAAGTTTGTGAAGTTTGTCCTCTGTCTTAACATCTAAAAGTGAAAGAATCTTACTATGCACTTCTTGTTGAGGAGCTGCTTTACAGTATAGATTGCATTTGCTTCAAATACTGACGATGTAAACATTTTACTTTTTTATTAGAAGAAAAACGCTTCTAATGTAAACAAATCTCTGATTTTTTTCAATGCTTTTCATTTTATAATTGACATCCAAGATCTCGGTAAGACAGCGATCTCCGTGGGACGCCAGTGTGTCGGGTTTGTGTTTCAGTAAAGGATCTTTGGCCACAAGACTGATATCACGGATGACTGTAACCCGCACCAGAAGATAGCGTTCTTATCCTGTGCTCGCGCTGCAGCAGGAACAGTTAGAATGTCCTGCAGAGAACTCTCAGTGTGACTGAGAATCCCACGAATCAACCAGAAGTCCTTGTTCTAGCCGGTGGGACCATGTATGTGTTGTGCACACTCGTACTGCTGTCCATCCACAACCTGTTTAAAAGATCCAGAGCACTGGAGGCCCCTGAGGCTGAGCCTGAGGCTGTGGAGAAAGCTGAGAAGCCCAAGCAGGAGACACCTCTGTCAAGCCACAGGAGGAGAGCAAAACACTCCCTACCTGGAAGCTCTGGAGCTCCGAATGGTGGTCATACAGGCAGCAGGGCTGGAGCCAGTGGCCGAAAGAAATCGGGCAGGACAGAACATCTGGGGAACGCACCTGGCCGCAGCAAGAGAGTCCAGGTGAGAGACAAGGATGTCCCGTTCGATGAGAATGATCAAAAGAGTTGATCAAGATTGAGCCGTGTTTACAAATAAGCATTTTTTTTCAAATAAATGAGCCAAAAAATAAACAGTTTAGCTGTACTGTGGTACAAATACATAGAAACGTTACTGTATTCGGTATTGGGTCCAATCAAGGCATATTTCAATTAAGCAGTGCAGGAAAACCAGTTGATCAAGGCACATATTAAGCAAGGCATATTTATTATTCCGTGAGGTTGTAGAAACGTTTTTGTAGTTTTTGCTTGTTTTTAGCATAATAATAAACGAAAACCATGAAAGGAAACCTGTAATATGGGTCGTTTATTTACTAATGGAGAGTTTTTTGATTTTCAAGTAGATCCTTTGAGAGTTTTCCTTACTTTATTGTGAGTGTGCGCAGTAAAAAAATCGAAAAATCAAATGTCTGAACAAACTCTGTATCGGCATATAGTCAAGATATAAGGATCTGGAACACGTTTAAAAACAGTGAAAGTAAAAGAAGAAGTAAAAGTGTGCACGCAGAGTTAAATGATGGATGGAGTGGTATTAATGAGTTTAAAGAAATGAGAAAAATGCAGCAGATGTTTGGCCTTTTTTGCAGGTTTGACAGAGTTAAGTGTTTTCTGTAACAGACAGAGTTTCTATCATTCTAACTGTTCTTTTACATTTTCCACAATATGAATTTGACTGTTGATTTAAATGAGTTGCTCTAACTAACTAAACATAAACCCGAGTAGAAAAAACAAAGAGCAGATTAAATGCATTTCATCACCCTAAATTGTGCCTATCCTGGCTCCGCCCACCAATGCATCCTCTTTTTAGCTACCTTTGCTTGGTTGGACAAACTAAACAAAATGTTGGCTAAAAATCTCATTCAACGTAATGAAAAATTGTAGCTCACAGTTTTTGTCAAATTATGCACATTTGAAAGTATGTTGTTAATGAAAATAAATGTTCAAAGTGTTGTTATTTACAAAACAATTTATTTTGTAACCTTCTGTACTTTTTTTTTATACCCAGTGTAGTTTTTTGTGCTGTAGTCAAGCTAATGTTAGCATAGTAGCAACGTATGAAGCGGCAGTAAAACTTTGCGGTGTGCCAATGTGAATAATTTCAGTTTTGTAAACCCAATCCTGTTTCTTCTTTTTACCTCTACCCCTTGTTTTCGAGTGTCACCCTAACTCAGTTCCAAGGGGTAGTGGTTGAAATCTTGCCCTGCGAAATGGGACCCTCAAATAAAAAAAACAAAAAACAAACCTTGTTTCATTAACAGCTACTAGCGGTGCTCTGTAGGCGACCCGGCCCAGTCTTCAGTGATAGCAGAGAAGGGAAAAGTTCAGCCACCTCACTGCTGGGCTTTAGTTACACTTAGAGAATCATATGCCTTCAAAGAGGGGCTATAAGACAATTATGCATCATCGCGCACCTCTAATTCTTTGTTGATCTGAAGCTGAAGTCCAATATTCGCCAGCTTCTTGTTCTGATTTTCCCGTTCCACCTTAAAGGTGCAGCAGTTACATTTTGCTGCTTCAGACCACAGTACATTGAAAAAACATTAAACTAAGATAATACAGTGGTTATCGTAATTTTTTAACGGAGAAAATTCTCAAATTTGTGGGTTTCTTTGGTCTCTTGTTCAGCCATCTTGCCGGTTTTTCTTTTTTTCTCATAACACTCTGTTTAGAGTCTCTGAAAAACCTCTGTTTGGAGGGCCATGGAGCCCTAACACTTCAAAACAGAGGGCTGAGGGCTAAGTGGTAGGGGCAAGGGGTGAAATGGGATTGGGCCCAAGTGTGCTGTAGTACCGGGGCCAGATTCACAACAGCTTTCTTAAGAAAAACTTGCGAAGATTCTTAAGACAAACATTAAGAAGTTCATAAGCCTCATTCGCCAACCATTCTTAAGAGAAATTTCTTCTTAAAACTCACTCAGTTTTTCGCAAAGATTCTGACATTCACCAGTGTTTTCTTATTTGGGATATTTGGGGTAAGAACAGAGGGGGGGGCTTGAAGTTCTCAGATATTCTTTTCAGATAATCTTAATTACTTCCTTAAGCCTGATATTTTCGTTATTTAGTTTAATCCACTCAGAGGAGCAAAATAGGGGAAAAACATCAAACCAAGCATTTAAAAAACTGAACAAGAACTGCAGGTGATAGTGGAAGTAACAGCTAACAAGAAAAAAAAATAAACCTCCTTGAAAAATACGATAATTGTGGGCTGACAATGGAAAGCAAATGATGATGATGGGCAAGAGTAAAAGATGCAGCATCAGAGTTTGATAAATGTAGACGCCTGTCAGCTCTTACAGCCGGAGATGAATGTGAGGCTATCGTAAAGTTAAAATACATTTAAGAACGTAATATTTTCAAGAACGCTACTTGTTCTTAGAATTATTCCTAAAATAAAAAAAGAGAATATGTTTTGTGACATTTGCTCTTTGCAGTATTGATACTGTAGATGGCTGTTGTGAAGGACTAAATTAAGCAAATGAGTCGTTTAACCAATCACAGTTCTGGAAGAGATTCTGTGGATGTTTTGATGCATTATTATACACCAATCAGGCATAACATTATGACCACCTCCTTGTTTCTACGCTCATTGTCCATTTTATCAGCTCCACTTACTATATAGGTGCACTTTGCAGTTCTACAACAGCAGACAGAGCAGTGCTGCTGGAGTTTTTAAACACTGTGTCCACTCACTGTCCACTCTATTAGACTCTCCTACCTTGTCAGTCCACCTTGTAGATGTATAGTCAGAGACGACAGCTCATCTGCTGCTGCACAGTTTGTGTTGGTCATCCTCTAGTCCTTCATCAGTGGACACAGGACGCTGCCCACAGGACGCTGTTGGCTGGATATTTTTGGTTGGTGGACTATTCTCAGTCCAGCAGTGACACTGAGGTGTTTAAAAACTCCAGCAGCACTGCTGTGTCTGATCCACTCAGACCAGCGCAACACGCACTAACACACCACCACCACGTCAGTGTTACTGCAGTGCTGAGAATGATCCACCACCCAAATAGTACCTGCTCTGTGAGGGTCCATGGGGGTTTGCAGTAGTGCAGTTGGACTAAAAGCATTGATTGATAAGTTATAACTGAAGCTCTGTACTTCTGCATTCGGTAAAGCACAGTGTCCATAATGCATCAACAGATTTAATGATTATAAAAATACATGATAATAGATGTGCCCCAAAACTACTTTTGTTTATAATGTACTTTTGAGACACGCTGTAAGGAAATGGCCATATGAAATGAAAACGTTTTGGTGAGCCGATTTTAGACACAAGCTGTGGGGGAAAACTGAGGCCGTGTCACCAACATGGCGACCATCTTGAATGCCACCACCTTGGATTCAACTTCAGTTTTATGCATGGGAAGGTAGGTGTGTGACACATCAAACAGGTAGAGAAGTGCACCAGAAAAACAGTGGTGTTCTTCATGTCAACATAACTTTATTCATTCTCATGTTAAAACTGGAGATTGGATCACCAAACCTTTTTCATTTTATATGGCTGTTTCCTTAGGTTTGAGACACACTGTATTATATGACGCATCATAATTGCAATATGTAGCAATTTAATCTTTACACTAATATTTTGCCCATTTTATGCAGGCCAAGCACCTGTTTTGTATGGGCATTTTTATGGTTTATGGTTTATTTTATCCTTAAAATCCCCAACGCTGCTGTTGTCCCCACTGTTATGAGAGTGTTTCATTTATGTCCTTTCATAACGTTTGACTGCTGCATTATTGATTTAGCTGAATGAACGTGTTTGTCGTTCTTATTTAAGGCTCAGTCTGGCTGTCTGAGTGGTCCTTCATAGAGCAGTGAAGGGCATTTGTAAAGCTGCTGACGCACGAAATAATCAGCTGTTGAGGAATTTTAACTGCTGAGATGAAATAAATCACTGACTCATTCATATCAGCTCAGCTCTGTGATGGGTGGGTGCCTGTGTGCATGGAGATTATCTCTATCTCTCTCTCTCTCTCTAACTCTCTCTCTCTCTCTCTCTGTCTCTCTGTCTCTCTGTGCTTTGTTTCCTCTTAGTGACTTTACTTTTGTATCTCTTTCTCTTTCTTACTTTTTTTTTGTCTTAATTTTTTTCTTTTGCATCTCCTTTTCTTTTTTGTTTGTTTCTCCAGATCTCTCTAGCTTCTCTCATTATTTCCCTTTCTCACGCTTTTTCTTTGTCTTCTTGTGTATCTCCTTTTTATATCTGTCCCTTTTGTCTCACTCTCTCACTCCTTTATCTTTCAATCTCGCTTTTTGTATATATGCCCCCTCTTTCGTTTCGTCTTTTCGTTGAATGTCTCTCTCTCTCTCTCTCTCTCTCTCTCTCTGTGTGCTTTCTTGCGCTTTCTTACTTTTTTCTTTTGCATCTCTCACCTCTTCTTTCTCTCGTTTGTCCCTTTTTTCTTAACCTATCTCTTTCCCTTTCTTTTCATTTGTTTCTCCATATCTCTCTCACTTTGTCCATCATTTCTCTTTCTCACTCTCTCACTCTCACTCCTTTGTCTTTCAATCTCTTGCTCCGTTTTTTTATATAGCTTCCCCTTTGTCATTTCCTATTTCTCTCGCTCTCGCGCGCTCTCTCTCTCTCTCTCTCTCTCTCTCTCTCTCTCTCTCTCTCTCTCTCTCTCTCTCTCTCTCTCTCTCTCTATGGAAGGTAAATGTTTCTGCTACATGATGACAGTAAACAGTGTTTCAGTGCTGAATGAGTGCATCAGCAGTTACATAAGCAGCACAGTTTATCTGAACACTACAGGCGATGCGCTCTGCTCTCTCCTTTCTAATCCCTCTTTAATTCAGCAGACCCTCTCTCTGGCTGCTGACCCATTCTGTGAACCACACACACACACACACACACACACACACACCTACCTGTGAGTGCACGTCCTCTCAGGGCATTCACTCACCTCAAATCAGTTGGCCTTCTTTTACCTCTTCACCTGATGTTACGGCTTTATATCCC